ATATATATTGGTTTTGTAGCCAAGTCTCATTTCGTAAATGTGAGTACCTATCCAGAAGTACGGACATGTATGTCTCCATATGTGCCGGTATCGTAAAGTGTGGGTTAGTCTATTGCTTTGTTAGTAGTATTGCCCTGTTGTTCACTTGACCCAAGCGTAGGATATTGATTTCCTCGGCTATGAGTTTATAGGTTAGATATTTCACCTGTCATAAATCAAATACTGAGCGGGGCCCTGGTATATTGATGTAGATATGAGACACTGTGCAAATCCTGCTGTTTTGAATTATCAGTATTGTATCGTCATCCCTGAGGCTCGGAGGTAAATTGTCAGTGCACATTTTGAGCGTACCTAAAATGATGTTCACTGACCTCATCATCTCGTTATGAATGTTTTAGAATACAGTATACATATATGTCCTGCTATCGTCGACAATATATACTCGTTTAGACACGGCGGTTATTGCCCACCAAATATATAGTATTATTCCGACCAGACGGTGATTGCACCAGAAATACGTCTAATAGACATCGAGTCACATCACAACGTACGTACTGTTCTACATAATCCTTTTCAATTATTCCTGGGCATCCTGCAGCCTATGCTTTCCATGATGACTCGATGGAGTCGCTCCTAAAATCGGAAGTCTTTCAAAGCGGACATAAAGAGCAGCGGCGACAGTTGCGACTGTGGTATAACTCACCCATTGGCAGAAGCCAAAGGTTTGTGGATGAGGTCCGTGTGACTGCCGCGGAACTGGGCAAAGACTCAGGGGACACACGGTATACCTATGTGCCCATGTGTGGGGATGGGTAGAAGGGGTGCTACGTGCACAGATTTGGCAATTTGGTACTTTTTGTTGTCAACGTGATGTGCATCGAAAGCAGCTGCACTTGAGGTTGTGAAAGTTCGGTCTCAAATAGAAGAAACCATGTGACGAGTATTCGAATGCATCTTCTTGTTCTGACTTGACTGTGCGAGCCGTTCTATATGCCTACCTCTTTAACGCCTACCACTGATCGGTCTACCTACTCTGCGGCAACTCCGCTCACACCACCCTTCCCACTCGGTATAATATTCACAGGTACAAGGTGAATCTTGTCAGTAGGTAAGTTTGAGAGTCCCAGTGCAGGGCTCGGGATGTTACTGCGATTCGGGTATACTCCTGCTAACGAGGGGTTGTGTGATATACATAGTGTGCTGGTCACATCGTGCAAGTGACATACTCACACGATGATCGTGTACCACCTTCGTTCTATTAACGTGTGCGTGTCGGCTTTGCTCTACTTTCGTGTGAGCAGACCAGGGTTATATCCAATGTGTCTTAGCGTCGGTAGCATCGCACCTTGCACCGGCGGAGGGTAGTGTGCTTACTTATTGGCTAGAATCACTGAGAAACAGGCATGTATTTGCTGAGTGGTTTTAGTTAGATATCAAATACTTGCGTGACAATCCAAGCCCCATATCCGTCCTGACTGAGCACACATGCTAACATCCCCCCCCCAACCATCCGCACACACACACACACACACACACATACATTACAGAGACCTTGTCATCGAGTTCTGCACGAAGCTGCTATACAAGCAGCAAGCCTTTGCGCAAACCCACGGAAAGACTCATGTGACTATCGGTTACCACTGGACGTCCGCTGCCAACATGCCGGAGATACAGCTGAATGGGCTGCTCACCCGTGACGACCAATCAGCGCGTCGTGTCACTCCGCACGTGTACCACGGGGAAGCGTTTGGCCGTGGCATCTACGCCGGTAGCAACCCGTTCTTCTTCTCAATGCAGGTAGGCGATGTGCACAGGGTCTATGATGTAGCTTGCTGTGGAGGTGTGTTCACTTGTTGAGTGGAGAGTGTTTGGGTTGAGCCGTTGTGGGTGAACATATACACTGTGCCACCGGTAGTTTGTTCATGTATGAGCCGTTTACCTCGTGCATGTTCTTGTGCAATGGTTGTCTCCATTGAATACCCGGATAATCCCGCATGCATGCGTGGTAGGTAGGTGTGGCAGTGTGTGCATCTGTACCACAGGTATCATCCAAAGCATGTGTAACTTTGCTTTGGTCTATATGGGAGTGTATGTCCTTGTAACAAAGTATCACCTCCCGAACGCTCGATGATCCCTGCACGCGTACGTATAAAGTATGGGCGTGTATACATGGGTACCTACTACCATCTGGTGAATGCTCGGATATTCGTGTATGTGTATGTTTCAGGTATGGGAAAGTCGGACTGTTGTGGGCAGTCCTGCACGGCCAGGAGCTCAACCCCAAGACAGCCCGACCCGGCGATAGCCATGGCAGTGATACACGCATTGGTATGGCAGTGAAGTTCAGATTCATAGACATATACCTACATAGCTCAGATTCATAGACATATACCTACATAGCTCAGATTCATAGACATGTACCTACATAACTCAGATTCATAGACATGTACCTACATAGCTCAGATTCATAGACATGTACCTACATAGCTCAGATTCATAGACATATACCTACATAGCTCAGATTCATAGACATGTACCTACATAGCTCAGATTCATAGACATGTACCTACGTAACTCAGATTCATAGACATATACCTACATAGCTCAGATTCATAGACATATACCTACATAGCTCAGGTTCATAGACATA